CTGTGATGAACTGAGACCTGTCCATGTGTCCCTGTGATGAACTGAGATATGTCCATGTGTCCCTGTGATGAACTGAGACATGTCCATATGTCTCTGTGATGACTGAGACATGTCCAGGCTGTCCCCCACCTCTCGCACAGTGACTGCTGGACACCAGCGACCCAGAAAAGAAGAAGCAGGTAAAAATGATGGATGGACGTGGACATTCAGGGCCGTAGTCTCAGGTGTTTTCTGTCCAGAGGGGTGTCTGACTACAGCTCGAGTGTCGAGACACGGAGACGACTCTGCGACTCGTTTGAAAGATCACTCCGCTGAGACTGGCACTCGGGAGATGAAAACCTCTGCAAACATCTGGAAACTCCTTCGTGAATGCTGTTCACCAACCAGCCAGTCTCCAACAGCTGGAGCCCCGTGAGACTCTGGCTAACGGTCCATTAGAGGTGGCGGCCATCTTGAATTGGGCTGTGGATGTTCGTCAAGTCATTCCACCGAGTTCCATTAAAATCCGTCCTGTGTGTCACCGGGTACTTGGCTAGATACACAAACACTGTCAGTCAGTTGTACAGACGCTGAGCTAAAGTTGGGTATGGTAGTAGCCGAGAGTCATTCACAACAAATACTGAGGGCTAACTGATGGAGACGTTTGTTGGAATATTTGGCACTAAGGGCAGCAGGTGACGTGGATTCTTCTAGAAAGACTTAACTCAGGAAGAACCTGACTACATGTGCAGAAAAACAGGATTTCTCTTCAGTTGATGAATCGAGTAAAACCTCCGAGAATCAACATCTGGCAATGAGATTATTTTAAATCTAACTTGTGAATTATAAATCTGTGATCTTCAGAGAAAACATTTAGAATAAATCTACAAAAAGTAATTTGCTTCTAAAACACAATTTGTAGTTTTAACTTTCACCTGATGAATCAGCACAAAACTTCAACAGAATTAAAAAAATCTAATTTCTTTGCAACTGGCGCAAAAAAAACCACTTTGATCTCTGAAATTAATTTATTTTTAAAGTGATGAGAGTTAATATGATGGGCAGGCAGCTCGTTTATGAAGCGTAAAGTGAATATTTTGACATTTCTGATTTGATCTAACTGAAGTTTCGGTAATTTAAGGAAAAAAAATAAAAATCTAACGAGCAACAGAAGTCGAACCCAGTCGTCCATTTTTGGATCTTTCCGACTTCGTGGACGAACCTACAGTGTCGTGTTTTCCTCTGCGTCGTTTCTACAGAAGAGTCAGACGTGTCGTCCGAGTTGAAAAATAAAAAAGATGCAGATGAGCGCTCCTAAAGACAAAAGAAAGTTTGTTTGTCCTCCGCCTGGCGTGACGGTGGACCTTCGTCTCGTCTCCGTCCGTCCGTCGCTCCGGTGTGAAGTCCGTTTCCTGGTCCAGACAGTCGTGATGTTTTTTGTCATCTCTGGCAACAGACAAAAAAAAGAAAAGAGCCCCTCGTGTGAGTCCTGACCTCTGACCCCAGCTCGTGGCTCCTCCTCCTCCTCGGACCCTTCGGCTGGGTGGCAGTCTGTTCAGGTCAGGGCTTCGGTCTGTCCCGACGTCAGCGGGGGACTCGATCCCGATTGCGGCCGGTTTCCCCTCCGATCTCCTCGTTTTGTTTTTTTTCCCTCTCTCTCTTTTATGCTCGTTCATTCTCCGTCATGCTCGCTCGCTCAACCCGGGCCAGGACTCCTGTCAGCGTCTCCTGGAGGACAGAGCGGGGCAGTTACTGCAGACGAGCCGAAACGGCACTTTTTGATTTAAAAAGCACTTGTATGCTCAGCACTCAGACTGTTCTTTTACAATCTACTTCTGCAGACTTTGTGTTGTTTTAGCTGTTCTCACATCAAAACGTTCGGCTCATTCAGGAGATGGGTGCTGGGACTTTTGGTGTTTGTATCTTTTATACTTTCAAAATATTTAACTTTATTTACGACAAATGGTTTAGTTTTTAGCTAGTCTTTACCGTTCTAACACCTTTAGTTAGCGTTTTGCTACTTTCAGCTTTTTTGCGGGTTTATCTAGTTTTAGCTTCTACATAACCTTTTGCTTATACCTAGCCTTTTGCTAACTTTAACCTCTAGCTGCTTTTTTGAGACATTTACCGGTATATGGAGTTTGTAAATTATATTTTCACTAGCTTTTACTATTGTTAGCTTTTAGCTATCTTTTATACTTTTTAGCTAATCCTTAGACACTTTAGCTTTTAGCAAGTTTTTTGTAATTTTTATCTTTTAGCTAGATTTTTGTAAGTTTTAGTTTTTCTAAGCCCTTTCCTACTTTTAGCTTAAATACGTCCTGTTTCTACTTCAGCTTTTAGCCAATTAACTTTTACTACTTTTAGCTTCTAACCAGCGTTTTGCTACTTTAGGCTTTTAGCTAGCCTTTGGCTCCATGCAGCCCTTAGCTAATGTATTTTTACATGTAGCTTTTAGTTAGTCTTTTGCTACTTTAATTAGTTAGCAAAGTCTTTTGCTGCTTTCAAATTTAACATACCCTTTTGTTATTAGCTAACCATTCGCTACTTTTAGCTAGCTTTTACTACTTTTAGCTTTTGGTTAGCCTTTGGCTACTTGAAGACTTTCGTCAACCTTTTGCTCTTTTTAGCCTTTAGCTAGTGTTTTGTTACTTTAAAGTTTAGGCTATTCTTTTGTTTCGTTTGTTTATTGTACCCTTTTAGTACTTAAGTTTTAACTAACCTTTAGCCACATTTAGCTATTTTTTTTTCCACTACCTTTAGCTTCTATGTGTCCGGTTTGATTCTTGAAGCTTTTACCTGTCTGTAACTTTTACATTTTAGCTCATGTTTTGCTACTTTCAGCCTTTTTTAAAAAAAAAACTGTTTTCTTTTAGGGTCTGGCTATAGCTGCTCAAGCTTCCTGTCTGTCTCTCTCTGCCTGTCTTGCACCTCTGGACTTTTTCAAAGAGCCGTCGACGAGGCTCCGTCGGCTACATCGACCTGCGATTCGCCACGTTCTGATGTCAGCGTCTCGCTGCGGGGCGCTCGTCTCACCTTCCTCCGGTTTTGAAGATCAGGTCGGCGTTGGGCGCGCCCTTCGGGTGCTGGTAGCGAGGCCGGCGCTCTCGGTTGGTGTTGGCCGGAGCCGGGCGCTGGGCCAACGATTGCATCATCTCTGCAGCACAAAGAGAGAAAACCTGCGGTTCAGTCGTAGTGCGACCCAAAACGTTCGGCTTGTTCAAGAGACGAGTGCTGCGACTTTTCATTTCTGTAAATTTGATATTTTTCAAAATGTGTAACTTTAATTTAAAAAAAAATTCCCACAGAAATTCCTTCAGAAAAATGTGCTTGGAACTTGACTGCAGCGCTTGCTTCGTTTTTGTCTTCTCATGCTACTGTTAGCCTTTAGCTACCATTTTGCTAGTTTGAGCTTTTAGCTATTGTTTCAGTTATTCTTTAGCTAAATTTACATTTTAACTGCTTTGCTTCTTTCAGCTTTTAATTACCGTTTTGCAGATTTTAGCTGTAAACGTCTGTTTCGCTAACTTTAGCTTTTAGCTATTGCTTAACTATTTTTTTGCTTTCAGAAACTATTTTACTGATTTTAGCTTTCAGTTAATGTTTAGCTAATGTTAAGTTTAGCTATTGCTTAGATGTTTTTGTTTTTTAGCTGGTGCTTTGTTGATTTTATCATTTATCTATTTTCTTAGTTTTCATCAACTATTATTCTAAAAAAAATCCTGTTTTGTAAATTTGAACTTTCAGCTTATTTTTTTATTTGAGCTTTTAGCTAATATTTAGTTGGTTTTAGCTATTAGCTATTGGTTTGCTTATTTTAGCTTTCATAGTTTTGTTCATTTTAAGCACTGTTTTGCTAACTTTAGCTTTAAACTATTGCTTAACTATTTTTAGCTGTCAGCAACAATTTTACTGATTTAAGCTTTCAGCTACGGTTTTGCCAATGTTAGGTTTTAACTATTGCTTAGCTGTTTTTAGATTTTAGCTATTGTGTGGCCAATTTTATCTTTTTACTACTGTTCTGCTCATTTTAGTTTTTAGCTACTATCCTATTAATTTTTTCAACTTCAGTTCTGCTAGTTTTAGTTTTTAGCTATTGTATTGCTAATGCTTTGCTGATTTTAGAGTTTAGCTACTGTTTTACTAAATAGGAGTTGTTGTTTTTTTTTATCAACTGCTCTGTTAATTTGAGCTTTTAGCTACTGTTTTATTAGTTTGAGCTTTTAGCTCCTGTTCTGATGATTTGACAGTTTTTCCCGTTTTAGCTGCTATAAACTCATTTAGCTCTCAACGTTCACTGTAGTTTTGTGGAAATTGTTAATTTTTCTAGTCAACGTTAGTTCTGCTGGTCAGATTTGTTTCACTCATCATGTCAGTTGTGACATGTAAATGTTTGACCGGGTTCGATTCGTCGTCTCAGAGCTGCTGTTTTCATCAACATCTGGAAGGTTTGAATCCGGTAGAAGTGAAGAGGGAGTAAAGCGAGTGTGTGGCGTTTCGTACCCTGGTAGTCCTCCTGCTCCTGCCTCTCGTTGATGTCCAGGGTCAGTTTCTTCATCCTCATGCGCTCCTCCTGCTCCGCCTGCTGCTGGTTGAAGTGGTTCGCCGCCAGGTGAGACGACAGGGGAACGTTCAGGATCTTATACTGTCGGCCAGAAGAACGGAAACTCCGTCATAGACCGCACATTAAAATAATAATAATAATAATAATAATAACAATAACAACGAGTGCAGGTTTGTTGGCGTGTGACATAGAAGAGCATAAAAATATTAATGTAGCTAATTCACCTCTACTCGGGTTTCCAATTAGTTTATTATTATTTTATTATTTTACTAATTATTTATTTTAACGAGTCCCGAACATAAGAGCACACAGAAACCAACAATACATCCAAACAGCTGCTTGGCTGCTCATTTTTATTAACATTTCGTTACCGTAGAAACGTACTTGGCAAAAACGACCCAAAAATACCCACAACATTGAACGAATACTTCAAATCCTACTGAGAATACGAGCTCTGTTAAATATCTCAGCACCCACTGGAGGTTCCTCTACAACCAGTTAGATATTTGACACAGCCCAATTCAAAATGGCTGCCACAGCTACCTGAACAACCACTAAAATTAATAAAACTTTCATTTTTAGAGATAATAAACTGTAATTTGGCGTGGTAGTTACTGAGCTCCAGCTGTGCTATTCTTGCCAACAGTTTTTCATTTAAATTTCAAAATGGCCGACACAGCTATCTTAGCAAACACAAAAACAGCTGAAACTTGGTTATTTTAGAAAACCTGAGCTACGATGTGATGTAGCAGTAGCCAACTCTAACCTCCGATTATAATACTCATGCTAACAGCTCGCTAAGTACTTTGTTTAAATTTCAATATGGCCGCCACAGCTATCTTAGCAAACACACAAAAGCTCATTGTTTAGAGAAATTAAGGTAAAATTTGTTGTCGTAGCAGTCATAGATCTCTCTGCTAACAGATCCTTCAGTTCTTTATTGAAAATGTTGTTGGAGACGATGTCCGTTAGCAAAATATCTCATGAATCACTCAAAGGATTTTAATGAAACTAATTACTGGAAGTAATTACAGGACAACGTCCACAAATGACCTGGATTTGGAGCCATCAAAGATGGCCGACGTAGCTTTTTGAGCTTCTGTTACATAAAAGAAGAAACACTGAGGGTCTGATGCTACAAAAAGCAACCCGTTAGCTTAGCATAAAGACTGGAAGCGGGTGGAAACTGCTAGCGTCGCTCTGCTTGTACACAGAAGTCCAGGTGAAGATAAACACGATGCTGCGTGTTTAAAATAAAACCTCAAGTTTTGTCTTTTTCACTCTATAAAACATCTTAAACTGGATTCCTGGAGGTGGAGCAGATAAACACACTGTTCATAGAGCAGCTGAATGTTGGTTCTGTTGCAGGACGGACACACACACACACACACACACACACACACACACTGGGGGCCTGTTCTCCTCGCTGCAGTGACGTTGGCGTGTTTGCTCAGAGAAACTTCACTTCCATCCACTCGCCTCACGACAGAAGCCGCTCTGTGTTTTCTCACTCGAGCCGTTTTTGCTCGACTCCTGGCAGAACAGCCGAACACGCCCTGCAGTACAAGGGCCAGATTCTGCCCTGAAACCACGCGCTGCACCACCGTGGCCCTCGCTCACATTTAACGTGAAAGCTTTTAACCCCGCACGTGTCACGCCAGATCTTAAAACTATTTACCATTCGTTTCTTTCCTCTGGTGGAGATATTCCTAAAAAGCAGCACTCATCTTCTCCATCAGACCTTTTGGTCTACAGAAGAAGTTTCTCTGCATTTTCCAAACGTTTCCTGATTTCCAGGCGCTGTGAACCCAGACTCTGCAGCCCAGGACCTTTGGGACGTTGCAATCACAATAAATTTGCCACATGTTGAGCAGCATCAATACTAACGATTAAAAACTGGTCCAAGTCTGCCTGTTTTCATTTCTGCTGTACATTTGGCAGATTAAACCATAAATGTGGGCAACAAAATCAGCTATATTAGAGCAGCTTTGAGTCGCAGCCCAGCGAGAGGCTACAGGAACAGCACATCTTGTGATCTATGATAAAAATCCTCATCTTCGCCTGATCATCTGCTGTAGAAAACCTGAAGCAGCTTAAGTGGCTTAAAAAACATTCCTCTGAAAATGTTTGAGTGCAATGACCGAAGCAAAGTAAAAAAAGCAGCCGAAGTCCAAAGAGAAACTGTATAATAATAAAAACCATGACTCTCCTCATCTGAGTGTCCGTTCTGTGGTCTGAGCCTTTGCTTCGGCTGCTAGCGGTAACTGTGCACCTGTTGTCTGCTTCGTACCTGCTGCTTGTTGCCCTTGCGGGTCAGCATGACGAACTGCATGGTGTTGGAGTCGTCAGAGTCTCCCTCCACCGTGCACTGCTGTCCAGACCCCCCCTTCTTCAGCTGACTCTTCAGCTGCAGAGGAATGGCCACGTCCAGCTGGTGCACCTTCACTGCCTCGCCACTGCGCTGCTGCAGAGACCGACACGTCGGGAAGGAAGAAAAATGTTAAATTTTACTCTTTTTACACAACCAACCCCCATTTCAGCCTGAACAGCATGAAAGTATTAAAGGAGTTGTTTAAACCATGTCTCACTGAAGTTTCTCACTTCATATAGGTTAATATTCTTCTGCTGTAACACTGATTACATGTGGAGTTCCCCAAGGTTCCAGTCTGGGCCCAGTGCCGTTTTCATTATATATGCTGCCTTTAGAGTCCATAATATGATTTACAGATATGATTTGCTCATAAAGATAAAACTTAATGAGAATCTAACGCCATTATTAATCTGTTTAAATCACATCAAAGCTAAGACGAATTTGAATTCACTACATCTGAATGAACATGTCTCTTAAATGGGCAGAAAGATTTTGATTTGACAGTATTTATTATTTAGTATTTAGACAGTACTAGAATTGCGCCACTCAAGGTGGCTGCATGTTGGAGCAGCTCTGTTACTTTCATTCTGAGATTTTGCTTTTGGAAACTTTAATTCCTCTTTTTCTGGATGTAAATCACATTTTTTGGATGATTGTTTCCTCTGGTATCGGATGCTGTGCAGCTGGAAGGATTTTTACTGAAACTTTTTTAGTTTTGGACATTTGTTAAGATGCGTAACCATGGCAACAAGGCAGTTTCTACAACCAACAGCAGCTGATTAACATCTCAAAAGCTCAACTGTGCTCGAGAGCCTGACCACTGAGATCCTGGAACTAGCAGGAAACACGGCTCATGACTGCGGAAGGACAGGATCGTCCCTCAGCACCTACAGCTGGCTGTCCGCAGCGATGAGGAGCTCAACAAGCTGCTGGGAGGAGTGGCCATTGCTCTGGGAGGATTTCTGCCCAACATTCAGGTGATCCTGAAGCCCAGGAGGCCAACCAAGTGCAAGTAAACGGATCAACAGCTGTGGCCAGTTTTTTCAGATCTGCTATAAGACGGACCATCACAAGAGATCCTTCCTGCCCACAACCATCAACATCTAGAACAACTCTTTTATGAAACAAGGAAAATGAGCTACAACAACATTTAATTTCCCTCTGGGATTAATAAAGTATTTTTGAATTGAATTGAATTGAATTTAGGGCATCATTCAAACAATTTTTGTTAAAAACGTGATCATTTCTAACAACTCTTACATTTGATGAACACGTTTCAGAATAAATTTCTTTCAATATATGGATCTCCGGGATGTTAAACTTCGGACTTCATCGAGAACACTCAGGTCAAACAACACAATGTTTTAGAGTTTCCCCCTAGATTACTGACCTAGGCAGGGCGCTTTTCGGACCGGGGGTGTGTGAGGGGGATTTGGGAGGTGGGGCGCTGTGCTCTGTTGACAGGGCGGGGCGCCCTCCTTGGATAACGGGTGTGAGGGACATTGGTTCTAAGAGACTAATGTAACGTAGAGGTGACCGTTGCTCCTAATAACTGGGTCAGTTAGCAGTTCTTAAAATGAGAGGTAAAGAGTTTAGACACTTTAAGTTGTTCCTAAAGAAAGTATCTCACTGAGCTGTGACTGTTGGAGACAGCCGAGCTCAAAACTGTGAGAAAAAAACTGAACTCCCGTCTCACTGAATTCTGAGTGTCTGCGACTAACAGGCAGCACGACTGCATTCTGAGCTGCAAAACTTTGGAAGTGACGACCTACTTTTGTGTTCAGAGTGCAAAACAGTGCACAATATTTTGTTTCCTACATTGTACCCACCCTGTTTCTACGTTTATGATTCAATCAACTGATGTGCACTGTAGAAATGGAGGTGAGCAGATATGGACCAGCTGCTTTTATATTTATAATTCATCGTTGTAGCCTTGGATGTTTTCTGTCAGAAGAAAGCTCCCGCGCAGCTCTAGTACTCTAATAAAACTTTTAAAAAAATAATAATTGAGACGAGTTCAAGACGCTCGTCTCTGTGACAACTTTAAGAGAAAATCTGTTGCACTATTTTAGAGACTCACGTTGCAGAAAGAGCAAGAAAAAGCACAAATGTTTTGCTCAAAGGAGATTAAAACCAACCACTTCCTGTTTTTTGGTTCTTATTTTTATAAACAACTAAACCAATTTGTAGCTTTCCCTTAAAATTTAGTTTCTTTTAAATATATAAACTATGAACGGTGATTATATCGTTCATTTAAAGTTTCTAAGAAGAACTGAAACTCAGAAAAGAGCGCAGCTCGTTTGGTCAAATTTAAAGGATTTTAAAAAGCAGAAAAATATATTTTTCTGAAATCTATCGTTTAGTTTCAGTTTTCAGATTATCTACAAACAGTTCCTCTGCAAGAGAAATTCAAAATGTGCAACAACAAACTGTATTTAGAGGTAAAGTTGCTACGATCTAAATATTCACATCAATGTTTTCCAAAGTTGTTAGACGTCAGACCTGCAGGTTCTCCAGCATCATCTTGTCCAGAGCCTGGATGAAGTCTTCGTCCTCGGGACATTCCACGTGCTTCAGTCCGCCGCCACGGATCGTAACTTCCTGCAGGTGAAACCGCAGTTTTCTTACAACAAAAACACTGATGTTCTACCAAAAACACGTTCTGGCTCTAAAACCAGACACAGTGCAGGTGTCTCAGTGACACGTCAGGTCTTACATTGTTCTCCTCATCCGTCTCATTTTCTTTATTGGAGTCCGTCAGGTAGTCCGTGTTCTCCTCTTCCTCTTCCTCCCTCTCCTCCTCTTCGTTCTCAGATCCTTCCTGCAGGACAAAAAGCCACAACTCTGAAACGGACAAAAACAAGAGACGAATCCAGACAGAAGCCCCCTCGCTGAATAAAAAACAAACTCTTAATCTCTGCTGGTGTCAGATTATAATCTGTGATGCAATGTCTATCGCCCTCCACCTTTCAAGCCAGAGTTTAGACCAAGCTCGTTCTAGAACGTTGAGCGACAAAGTTGTGGAGATTTATGGTTGAACCTTAATCTCGATACTGAGACGCCTCAGATGGAAGTCTAGACGAGGCTGTGACATTCTGAGAACTTTGCACGTTTCAACAGGAATTACTGGAATATTTATGGGAATAAATCGGGGGGTGGTGGGTGGATTTGAGACAATGAGATGATTTTTAAACGTGAGGCGGAGCTGCAGACCCGGAGGACGGAACCGCCGAGTCAGAACCTCAGACAGAAGAGAAGATCATGACGGAGAGAACAGTCCGAGTCAGACAGAGAGGACGTCGATGAAGAAGAGGGTGATCAGGATTTGTTTTAGAAGAGGAAGAGCGGACCGAGCCCTATTAGGAGGTGTGACTCTGCAAAGGAGGGGGTCCAGAACCTCTCGGACTGGGCCAACAGAACCAAGCATCAGTTCTGAGCTCTGGAGAACAGAGGAGGAGGATGTTGACCCAGAGGGTGCACTGATGGAGGAAAATACAGGTTTTTTTTAATTATCCTAAAATAAATATTTTGTCAATTAAAAAAACTGTAGAGTTTTTAAACAAAAAAAATCCTTAAAGCATTAAAATAAAATCCAAATCATTTAAATTAAATATATTTCAGGCCGAGTCGAAAAGACTTACCGTAGTTTAATTGTGTAAAAATATATAAAACTAGTATTTTAATCAGTTAAATAAGGATGAATTCCCCTGAGGAACATGAATAAATAAAGTTAAAGTTTCAAACCCTCTTCTTCAAACGTTCACGATGTGATGACTCTGAGGGTTATTAAAAAGGTTGACCGCAAATATTAAAAGTCCGTTTTCCCAGGAGTGGACGTCCCAGCAGAAGAGGACAGAGCTCCATCTCAGACTCTACAGGCCTCAGTTTTCAGGTCAAAGGTCATGATAGGACCATTAAAGACTGAACAAGTATGGCTTGTTTGAAAGGCCTGCAGGAGAAAACTTCATCTACATAAAACGTCACGGCAGCACGACTCAGTCTGTCAAGTTTCATCTGAAGAACCACTTCAATGAGACCAACGAACAGATGTTTACCCAGAATGCACAGCAGCAAACTATACACAGGAGGACTTTGTTTTCGTGATGTATAGATTTGATAAGGAACGTATGCAGAGATGCAGCCACACAGCAGAATGGAAGTTGGTTCCTCTCTTATTTTTCTATTTGTCATGATCAAAAGACGGACGGGCGGAGAACGTTTCCCTCTTCGTTCCACGACGGGGACAATAAAGCTCCCGTTAATTCTCATAATCTCATTGTTTTGTTGGCGACTGGTGCGTTTATGAATGAACCCGGGCGGCCGTCACTTCTTCAATCTATTTTTTTAAATAACTGTAAAATTTTAAAAAGCCACTTTACGTCCATCTGTCTGACAGCTGGACCAAACTGGGACCAGCAGGACCCTGATCCCAAACACAGCAGCTGATCTACAACAGAACAAATCGAGGAGCTGCACAGATCCAGTCAGAGTCCAGAACCTCAACCAGACTGAAAGTCTGTGGTGGACCCTCGTGGAGCGGAGCAGAAACCAACGATGGAAAGACGAGTGGGTCAAAAACCCTCTACAACCCAAACACTCACGTCCTCTTCCTGCTCGTTCATTTCGCTCTCGTTGCCCGACTGCTCCTCGGTTTCGGCGCCTCCCTCTTCCTCGTCGTCCCCGTCGTCGTCTTCCTCGTCGAGAGCGTCCCCTTCGCTCATGGCGCTGGAGCGACCGTCCTTCTCCATGGCCATGCCTTCGTAACAAAAGCACAAAGCTTTGAGAGCAGGATTTAAAACCGAACGTGAAGTTTGGTTCAAACGTGTGAAACGTTGAGCTGTGCAGGATCATGACGGTGTTCTGTGTGACGCTGCAGGGATGATTTACTGTAACCATGGCGACAGAACCAAGTCCGACACCTGCAGATCAGGTAACAATGGAGCCAATGTTGAACCCACAGCCGCCCCCCAGCGATCACTCAGTCCTCCAACTGATTACTCAGAAAGAGGAAAGTTACTAAAACTCAGGTGCCGAACGAACAAACATTTCTCCTGTTTGCTTCTTTGACACCTGAAGTTTACCTGCAGCCTCGTCAGGGTCTTTGTTAGGAGCCACGTTCACATGAAAACCTCTTTTATTTTGCACATTTTACTCTTTTTATTTAGTGGAGCTTTTTTTCCACAGGTAGTTTTGTTCTGGAGCATCGAGTGCGAGCCACGCCCGGGTCACTTTCTCAGAGGGCGGAGCTGCAGTTTCACATTTTTCTCTGCATTTCAGTTCAACACCTGGAAACTGATGAACAAAGACGGGTTCGTGTGCAGTTACCAGGTTAAAGAGCAGGTACAGCTGCTGCTGCTGCAGGTACAGCTGCTGCTGCTGCAGGTACAGCTGCTGCTGCTGCAGGTACAGCTGCTGCTGCTGCTGCAGGTACAGCTGCTGCTGCTGCTGCAGGTACAGCTGCTGCTGCTGCAGGTACAGCTGCTGCTGCTGCTGCAGGTACAGCTGCTGCAGGTACAGCTGCTGC